ACCCTGAGGACAACAATCACCATCAAAAGGCTTTGTGTAAAGAAACACTGATGAATTCTGACAGCTGACCTGATAACAGTTGATGTTAAAGAAGATTTACAGTTGTTTACAATTATTTTAGGTATATGTAAAATTGAGATTGAGAACAAAGGACAAGTTAATTCATCTAGTAATGTTAAACTCTATGCCTGGTAACCTCAAAATAGAGCAAGACGACATAGACATAAAGTACAAAATTATAAAATACAACAATAAAACTAGCACACAGTCCATTATACAGGATAGCACAGTCCTACCTACATTCACAGAATATTCCATATATCCTTGGGAACAACAAGCAATCACAGACAGAAGTTCAAGGCACAAAATTGAGTCTATTTCACAAGAACAGACAGAAAGGAAAGCACACATTAATTCACAATATTCTGAACTGATTTATTGAAAAAGGCAAGTTTCTTCACATGAAAAAAGATGAAGAAACTAAATGCATCACTGCATTAAGTCTCATTGAAGAGACTTAATTTTCATAATACTGGACACATACTTAGGTCTTGTCTCCACTTACTGGGAAATTGACACTACAAAGATTGGTTTCCCAGGATTCGATTTAGTGGGACTAGCAAGGACCCACTAAACTGACCACTAAGGCTATGTCTAGACTGCAAGCCTCTTTCGAAAGAGGCTTTTTTGAAAGATACTTTCAAAAAAGCCTCTTTCGAAAAAGAGCGTCTAGACTGCAAGCGGAACTTTTGAAAAAGCAAGCCGCTTTTTCGAAAGAGAGCACCCAGGCAGTCTGGATGCTCTCTTCCGAAAAACTCGTTTGCATTCAAGAACGCCTTTTTTCGAAAGAGCACTTTCGAAAAAAGGCTTCTTCCTCGTGAAATTAGGTTTACCGCCGTCGAAAGAAAAGCCGCGTTCTTTCTATTTAATTTCAAAAGAACGTGGCTGCAGTCTAGACGCAGGTGAAGTTTTTTCGAAAAAAGGCTACTTTTTTCGAAAAAAACCCTGAGTCTGGACACATCCTAATTGTGCCTCTATCGACGCTGGTACTCCGCTGGGTCGCAAGGAGCAAGGGAAGTGGATGGGTCGCAAGGAGCAAGGGAAGTGGATCCCTGTCAACTTACTGAAGCAGGGATGTCATGTTAAGTTAAACTAAGGTATGTTCACTGTCTCGAGGCATTTGGCATTGGCCACTGTTAGAAGACAGGATACTTGACTAGATGGACCTTTGGACTGACCCAGTATGGCTGTTCTTATGTTCTTATGTCAACTCTAGCTATGCTAGTCACAAAGCTGGAGTTGTGTGTCTTAGTACAACTTTCTCCGTTAGTGTAGACCTGACCTTAATGTGGTAGGTCCTGTTTTCAAAGTAAACCCAAGCAGCTGATATAAAGAATTCTGCTTCTGAATCATAAAACTCTAACTCATCTTCATCAAGCCATTAAGGAAGATTAAAAGAAAATAATGGCTGCTGGAAAATGTTGGAACTGGAATATATTTAGGAAGCGTCAACTCTCATTCCGTACAGACCTACATTACAGTTAGTTTACAAGATTTACAGATAGAGTAACAAGAAACTCTTCTTCAAGGCTCTTTTTCTGAGGATGATGGGCTTAGCCACAACCATACATAGTTATATGTTTACATGTCGGGGGAGAGAGGGCAGTGCGTATGGGAAGCCAGTTTTTAAATCATCACTGGCTCCCACAGAGGCACCACCTTCCCCCTCGCACTGCTACTTCTTTATCAGGAAGTATGGGGGGGTGACAGGTGGCAGCGCTCATGGGGATCTTTGCAAGCACTAGCTCCCACCTCTTCCCCCACCCTGCCCCAATGCTGCCTCTGATACAGAGGTAGTAGCATGGTGGAGAGAGGGGGCTTGCGTGTAACCGTGAAGGTTAACCAGTGAGCCCAGACTCATCGGCTAACCATGTAAACATGTATTCTAAAACATCCCTAGTCAAGAGTTCTATATCCATTAGAGAACATGAGAGAAAGAGAAGTTACTCACTCTGTGCAGTAACTGTGACTCTTTGAGATGCACACTCTTATGGGTGCTCCACTTCAGCTGCATTTGCACCCCCCGTGGATTGGAGATGGTAATTAGCAGTGTCCATTTGACCACACATATCCTGCTGACAAATCTCATGCCTCAAAAAGCTATATCAGGCTACAAGGGTAAACAGTATTTTCTCCACCACTGAGTTTCATAAGGAATCTTGAAGCAGAGGGAAGGATGACAGGTCGTGGATATAGGGATATAGCTCAAAGAACCACAGTTACTGTACAGGGTGAGTAACCTCTCTTTGAATAGTGTCCCTATGGGTGCTTCACTTCAGAGGCTCGAGCATTGTCCAGATAGTGAGGACAGAGCTTTTAGAAGCAATACCAGCATATAGGAAACAACTACACTGCCAACTGCTGCATCAGATCTAGTGGCACAGACTAAGGAACAGTGTCTGGAGAAGGTACAGAGGACAAGGTAGCATCTTTGGAGATTTCAGATACTGAGACATTTTTAACTATGGACTGTGTTTTGTCAAGTGAGATGACAGACCAACGGGGGTGCAAAGCTGGCAGCACTGTAACAAGCTACAATACATTCTGATCGACACTCTTTTGTCTAGAAATAGCAGACTGTTTAGATCAGTCCACAGCTGAAATGAAAAGTCTAGTCTAAAAGATTTTCAAATGATTTAGTCTTATACAGATAGAAGGTGTCATTGACTATGTCGGATAGCCTATTTTACATGCCTCCGTCAGCAGAGACATGTAATCTAGACATACCCATAGAGTATTGGAGGGCAGTCTCCAGGTTGGAGTTATATAGTTTTGGAAAGAAAACCATCAAGAAAATGACCCAATTCAAATGAAATACAGAAGACACTTTAGGAGAAAATCTGGGGTGTAGCCAGAAAGAAACTTTGTCCTTGTAAAATAATGTCAGACCCTTCTTTCACAGTAAGGTCCCAATCTGTCTGTCCACTATTTCTGTGGACCAATTCAGTAAGGAGCAATTGCCATTGGTTCAAACATCAAAATAAAAAAAACCCAAGATCCTATAATAATCCAACTTTCACCCTTCCATGAGATTCCATCCTCTTGGTCATATGATTTCTTCAACAACACTTTGTGTGGAAAAATGAACAAACAGCTCCTACTGCCTCAGGATCTCTTAGTCTCCTAATGCATGGACCTGTCTATATTCCTTCTTCCAAACATTATTAGCAGAAACAGCTTCTAATTTTTCTCATTCCCGAGAACTACATTTCCCCAAATTCACTTGTTATGGGCCAAACAAAGAACAGCATCACCCTGGGTTTGTAGATTACCTTAAAGGGCCAGCACATCCTGTAACTATGAGCACATACCCAACATTATTTTCATTATCCCATCCATCTATACAATGATAAGGCATGGGACAAAGAAAACATGTTACTGGCTACATATACTGGCGTAGGTAAATTCTACTTCAGTTTAAAATACTATTCCTTGTGACAATACTAAAGCTAGAGATTGTATAGTAAAAGAACAGGGATGGGTAATAAAACAGTGGTGGTTCGCCAGGGTTAGTCTCTAGTGGCCTGTCACTACTATATATACCTGTGCCTCCACAGATACAGGGAACTGCAGCTCCAGTTGGCTGCAAAATTACAGTTCCTGGCCAACGTGGACTGGGACAGTGCTTCCTGCAGCTCCCATTGGCCAGAAATGGCAATCAGCTACCAAATGGAGCTGAAATTGCCCAGGCCTGTTGAAGCACAGGCAACTACAACAGCACTGGTCCATAAGGAGCTAACTCTGGTGAACCAGATCCAGCCTGCAGGCCGGTATTTGCCCATCTCTGTAAAATAGGATGGCCAGCATGGTCACTTGCATTCAAATATCCAACAGTTATTTTGTTACAATGCAGATTTCTAGTCTGTAGTCTGAAAACAAATACAAAATTTGGGACTTTTATGTGCCCACAGCATTCTTTGTAAGTATTTAGCAATTCACAATAGTATTCAGAATACTTCTCTTTCAAAGATTTTTCACTGCACTGTAAATTTAAAGTGAAAGTTAGAATCTAAAGCCTTTTTTTCCAATAACCAAAAGTAGTTTTCTAATGAGTTTCAAAATATTGTGCTATACCCACTTTTATCTCAATACTCTTTTTGTATCTCCCTATTCTATCCTTCATACTATTCTACACAGGTTGAAACCAATCTCTTTTCAAGTATATTCACTCTTTCAGAGCAGCTCCTGCCTGAGGGGTGCTCCTGCCCGCTGCAGGCCGGGACTGTGCTGGAGCAGGCCTCACACAGGGTTGGAGAAGCCCCCTACCTGGAGTAGGTAGGGAGCTGCTCCAGCCCCACTGGTTAACCAGTTAAAATTTCATATCACTAGTCTAAACTGCAATCAGAAGTGTGACTGTTGCATGTGTAGACATACTGGAGCTAGCTGCTGTCTAGCTTGCTCAAGTAACAATAGCAGAGAAGTCATGGAAGCACAGGCTAGCTACTGTTGTAAGAATCCAAGATCTGGAGAGGGTTTGCACAGCCCATACTGCCTGGGTTTCACTGCTATTGTTACTTGAGCCAGCTATACCTAAGCTAGCACAAGTACATCAATGGTACTACAGTCATTCTCTGCAGGCATGACCTAAAAATTCTCTCACAATCAGACTAATTTGTAGAGCCCTGCAAATCTGTGGATATCCACTTTATATCTGTGGATATTCGCATCTGCGGATGTGGTTGTGGATATCCGTGGATAAATTATGCAGAAAAAGATGCATATGTGAATACCAATTTTGTATTTGCAAAGATGTTTATTTTTTTAATCTTCCTCTTCTTTACCATTTCCTGTATATGTTTACTCTATTTTCTATTTAAAGTTGTTAAATGGACCAAGAATACTGTCTTTATTTAGTCTCTGTAAAGGAAATCAAAATTATGGTACTACATATATAGTGCTAATAAATATTCAAAAATTAATACTTTATAAAAACTTAATACCTGACATGATTATTGCAGAATTTGGTCAACTGAGGCTGGTTGATAAATACTGTTCTCACTTCGTCTTGATCAGCGAGTGAAGTTTTCTCTGAAATATCTTCTGTCTTCTCATAGCCTTTAAAATATAAAATAATTTCCATTATATTCTATCATTCGAGTATCTTCTTAAGATTAAATGAAAACAACGTATTTAGTAATACAAAGTGACTTTATAAAGACAAAAGTATATTCCTTAGTTCTCCTTGGGTTTCTTGTTTAGCATTCACTCATTAAAAATTCATACCTTATAAAAATCCCATACAAATTCTATGTTAAATTTGAGTTAAGGCTAAAAGTACCTAACAGAATTTAGGCTAAAATATATTACAAAGGTGTAATTATCTCCAAATCAAGTACTGTAAACAGAGAATGTTCAGAATTATGGTTAAACATTGTTTTTGTGCACAATACATAAGTCATCCCACATATTAATTTCAAAACTCTTCTTTCACGTAACATTAACCATTACATTGTCATTGAATGTAAAATTGAACTTTAAAGTACAAAAGGGAGTATTATAACTACTAGTTCCCCTTCCTCTGCCTATGTTCATAGGCTATCTTTGCCTGATTTACAAACTGTAATTTTTTTGGTGCAAAAACCATGTTGCTTTCTGAAAAGTTTTGAGCTTTACAAAGTTATAGAATGTATAAACAGCCATAATATTATAATTATTATGAGCAGTATGCCAGAGAAGAAATATTTTGGTTAACCATTGCTCTCTCTCTCTCTCTCTCTCTCTCTCTCTCTCTATATATATATATATATATTTGTAGAATTGATGGTGAAATGACCCTAACTCCCCCCCCCCAAAAAAAAAATCCAGTAGGATATCGGGTGCTTCAGTTGAGCAAACATGGAAGACTAACCTAACTAATCTATATAATCTACATCCATAAACAGCAAGAATAATGGAATTACCATGTTTACTGAGTGGTGATAATTAAGCAATAAGACACAGAGGAAGCGTTGTTAGGCATGAATAAGGAAGTAAAGCATCAGGAAGCAATAATACAGCAGAAAGTATGCTTCATTATGTTTTACTAAAATTATAAAATGCGCATACACACATTCGACTAAAAATGTACTAAAGGTACATTTATTACCCATTAATATTTTTTTCATTTCAAATACATTAATCCAGACCTATGATCTCCAGCTTCTTATCAGACATAGGTAATGGAAATCCATTGGGTCAAATGAGGCCATCCATTAGATTTGTCCCAAATACCTTTATCTTCAAATCATGGTCTGAAATCTTTGTAGACCCAGTGTCTACACAGGAGTACAGAATTAGAATGTAGCATTACAATCCTAGTGAAGATGTATGAAAAGATAAAACTCGCATCGGACTCTGTAGAATTAACATTGCTTACAGGAATACAACACAGTAAAAAAAAAGTGTGTGTCATATCTGTGTTTGTGACATTCTAAAGAAAAATTCTGAAATAGTTGTAAGATGTTAGTGGCAAGTCTGTCATAAGCAATTCATCCTGATGCAATATTATTAGTACACTTCCTTGCTCAGGATTGTTGTCATAATTATCATCAACTCCATAAAATTATTGATGCTGACTGATGTGAAACTTGACAACAGTAAGTAATAGTGGAGGTGGAATTCAGAAGGCAAGATGTAGACATTTCTGACACCTCTTAGTAACAAATATATGAAGGGATGAACTTGTATGACCATTAATGTTAAAAAGTCTTCTGAGACTGATGGAATTACTACCTGGCTCGGCAAAACCAAATCAAGTAAATCCACAACAGGGTCAAGTTCTCTCTTTCTACTACCCAAGGAAGAGTGCAAGTGTTGAGATTTGTAATAGCTCACAGATTCATGCATTTTAAAGACAGAAGGGATCAGCATGATCATCTACTATGACACCTTGCAAAAAAATGGCTATATAATTTAATGAAAGATTTCCTGCATAAAGTCCATAACTTCTGAGTGATCTCTAGCATATACTTTAGAAAGGTAAATTGTTCCAATCATTATTTTTACAATGAGAGTAATTATGTGCTGTATTACTAGTCTGAATTTGTCTAGCATCAGCTTTCAAAAAGTAGATCTTGTTATGCCTTTTTCTGGTAGGTTAATGAGCCCTCCAGAGAGTTTCGCAGCTATTTGCTGACATCAGAGGGAAGGTGAGACTCAGGCACCTTAGGGCTAGTCTACATTATCATGCTATATCAGCACAGCTGCATCATCGCAGCTGTACTGCATCTGGTGAAGATGTGTTTTGCTTATAGGAGAGCACTCTTCCATCAGCATAATTACTCCACCTCAGGAAGAGGTATAAGCAATGTTGGCTTGAGATGCTCTATATGGCCAAAGCTTAGGTTCATGTAACCTGCATCCCTCAAGGAGGTGTCTTTTTCACACCTGAGCAACTCAAGTTATATCGATTTAAGTGGTAGTGTAGAATAACTCTGATTCCATTTCCAGAGCTGGAGGAGGGCATGCTCTAAAGTATAGATTTCTCTGCCCATTCTAGCCTCCTTCCCAAGTGAAATTCCTGGTTCTTCCTCTCCAACTTGCCCCTGTTCAAGTCCTATCGCTGCCCCACCTCAGGCTTTTTGTCCCACTCCTATTAACTAGTCAGTCCCAGACTTCACTCCTCAGAATCATCATCCCAGACTCAGTCTTCTTGCTCAGCCAGTCCAAGCTTCCGCATCCCAGTCTTCCCTCCCAATTTCTTGTATCCAGTCTACATGGCTAGTCAGTCCCAGTTCTTCCTTCCCTCACTTTCACTGATCTTTCTTTCTTTCTTCCCCTGCCCCCACCTTCAGTCACCTCCATGCACACATTTGTTGTTTCCACTGGCTTCCAGAGCCAGTATTCCTCTTTACAATCTGCATCTGATGAAGTATTCCTCTTTGCATCTGACGAAGTGGGTCTTTGCCCACAAAAGCTTATGCTCCAACACTTCAGTTAGTCTATAAGGTGCCACAGGACTCCTCGCCACTTTTGCAGATTCGGACTAACACGGCTACCCCTCTGATACTATTCCTCTTTACATTTGTCATCCAATCTCAGGGTGCGTCTAAACTACACTCCTCTTTTAAAAGAGGAATGTAAATGAAGGAAATTGAAAATGCAAATGAAGCGCAGATTTACAAATCTTTGCTAATTCGAACTAGCATGTCCACATTAAGTGGACCCTGAACCGGGCTTAAGGATGACTGGAAGCAGTGCCGGCAGGGCATCAGAGGAGGACTTAGAGCGTGGAGATGCTGTCGCAGTCTCGCCGAGGGCTGTGCTTAAAGGGTCCCGACCCCCACCCCGGACAGACAGCTCTCAGGGGTGCCCCGCTTGCAAAGCAGTCCTGGCTTGGATTGCCCGGACTACCCACATTGGGCACATCACAGCACTCGGCCATCAGCCCGGCTGCACTTGCCGCAGGCTGCAATCTGGGGAAAAGGGGTCAATCGAGGGGCTCAGGAGAGCTTCCCCCCCGAGGAGCCTGCAGAGCCAGCCCAGTCCTCCCCATCGGGGGCTCGTACCCCATTCCTCCCTCCCCTCCTTCCACTTGCCCCTCCCTAGCCCCCCTTCCTCATGTACAAAATAAAGGACGTGTTCAAAAATAGAAACTCTCTTTATTGAACAAAACTGGGGGAGACTGGGAAAAGGAAGTGGGAGAGGGGAAGAGACAGGCTGGGAGAGGGGAGGGCAACTAAAATGATCAGGGGTTGGGAACAGCTCCCATATGAAGAGAGGCTAAAGAGACTGGGACTTTTTGAGCTTAGAAAAGAGGAGACGGAGGGGGGACAGGATAGAGGTCTCTAAAAGCAGGAGTTGGGTGGAGAGGGTGCATAAAGAAAAGTTCTTCATTAGTTCCCATAATAGAAGGACTAGAGGACACCAAATGAAATGAATGGGTAGCAGGCTTCAAACTAACAACAGAAAGTTCTTCTTCACAAAGCAAAGAGTCAACCTGTGGAACTCCTTGCTGCAAGAGGCTGTGAAGGCTAGAACTAGAACAGAGTTTAAAGGGAAGTGAGAGCAAGTCATGGAGGTTGGGTCCATGGAGTGCTATTAGCCAGGGAGTAGGAGTGGTGTCCCTGCCCAAGGTTTGCGGAAGGCTGGAGAGGGATGGCACGAGACAAATGGCTTGGTCACTGTCTTCGGTCCATCCCCTCCAGGGTCCCTAGGGTTGGCTGCTGTCGGCAGACAGGCTACTGGGCTAGATGGACCTTTGGTCTAACCCAGTACGTCCATTGTAAGCTCAGGGCTCAGGGTCGGGGGGCTCAGTGGACCCCCTTGATTCTCTTGTACACCTGCTCCTGGGTGGCCAGGCTGGCAGCTCTCCTGCCCTAGACGGCCACTTTCCTGTGGCTAGTGCGGAGGTTGTGGATGAGGTCCACGATGTCTGCACTAGCCCAGGCGGGGGCCCGCCTCTTGCGGTCCCGGGCAAGCTCCCGGGAGCCGCCAGCCTGGTCCCGGGAAGAGGGGGAGGGCTGGGGGGCATCGGGTGGATGGCTCGATCCGTGCCAGGTGCAGGCTCTGCTGGCTGGGTTCTGGCAGGCTTGCACCTGGCACGGGCACCGTAGCCAGCCCGTGCCCCTTTAAGGGCTCCGGGGCCGGGAGGGGGGCAGACGAGTTTCCCTGGTGTTGGCCAGAGTGGCCACCAGGGAAACCTGGGGAGGGCTAGCCTCCCACTAGTTCGAATTAAGGGGCCACACACCCCTTAATTAGAACTAGCTAGTTCGAACTAAGCGCTCTGCTAGTTCAAATTAAGTTCGAACTAGCGGAGCGCTAGTGTAGCGCCTATTAAAGTTAATTCGAACTAACGTGCATTAGTTCAAATTAACTTTGTAGTGTAGACATACCCAAGAAGAGATCATTTCCCAATCCATCTGCCCATTATGTGCCACAGACACCAGCAACTTCTATCATAAATTTATCTCCCATATGCAGTCCAGCAACTTAGCCCTTGTGCATGTCATATTCCTGCTATGGTCAAAATCAGTGGTGGGCAATTTGCAGTCCAAGGGGCACATGTGGCCCATTAGGGTTCTATGCACAGCCACGCACAGGTCTGCTAGATTCTGCTGGTTTTCTTTCACATAGTG